TATGTGTGTGATCAAGTAATATAGCACAGTGAACATAATGAACAGCCACTATATAAGCATGATATGATTTGTGCTATATGACATAAAACAGTAACAAAACTAAAACTATTATTACACAAAGTAGATAATTAAAAAGAGCAACAAGGATGTGAATTTACTAAAATCGAAAACTTAGTGAAGAATGTATATTGTTTGTCATCCCGAAGTCAAATCTTTAATGAACATAATGAACAGCCCCTATGTAGTTAGTCTTCAAAACTAAAACTATTATTACACAAAGTAGATAATTAAAAAGAGCAACAAGGATGTGGATTTACTGAAATTCAAAACTTAGTGAAGAATGTATATTGTTTGCCATCCCGAACTCAAATCTTTAATGTAGGCGTGTTCATATTAGCTTGTTCATAGCTATCGTGTGTTCATATTGGGACACTTATTGATCATTTTTTTCACTTTCGGAATTCGAATTCCGAATGTATTCGTAGACGTTTTTAGTTTTTTCATTCTCATTGTCGTCGATCCGTTTTACTCTATGATTATCCATATTACTCGGACTATAACGGAATCATTACAAAAGGGACTTTTTCAAATTTACAATATCAAAACCATTATAGGAAGAATAAATRTAAAATTCAGTAAGATGAACACATGTGAAACTTCATGTCATTATTACATGAAGATCAATTAGTGATATTTTAAGATTTGTAACTCCCAATTAAAATATTTGGGAGTTACATAAGAATGATAAATTACCTAAATACCCTTACAATTAATATGTGAGTTACATTTGAACCTAACTAAAAGATGGAACATGATTGGTTGATTTTGGTTAGCATAGTTTGCACAACAGTTTTCGTTAGTATTTGAACCAACCTCTATATATATATATCGCTAAGATCATTTGTTAAATATGAAAAAAGTATTAACTATACAAATAATTTAGACCAATCATAAGCTTTTGCTAGATTAAGTTCTTTTATCACCATACAATTAATATTGAGGACACAATGGTAATCTTCTTTTCTTGTCTTAACTTCACATTCATTACTGGGTGGTTACAAAAACATCAATCCAATGATTATAGCTAAAATAATATGTTTATTTTTTTTCCAAATTATAGATGACTTGTTATTTTAATATTATAAGAAACTTGGATATTCTATCTTCAACATATTTGTAGTCGCCAATGTTCATATGGTGTATATATTGTTCACATGTGTTCCATTGTGTTCATAAAACAATATCTATATACATATAACATTTGGTCAATGTGTTCACAAGCGAAACACTTTGATCATATAATATTGTGTTCATATGTGAAAGCCGATTACTTTAGTGTTCATATGTTTTAATAGGTATAAATAAGTGTTCATAAGTGTTTTTGTATGTTCATATGCGAAAGTAAATGCATTAAAAAGGGACAAATTTTAGCTTTTCAGGCAATTAGCAATAATTTTAGCAACAAACTAAGATTAATTAATAATTTACATATATGTTCATATGTATTCATAAGTGTTCATAATGCAACATGGATGATTCTACGAACTATAAAAGAAATGAGTAATTACCAATTTGTAGCCAATGTAATTAATTAATTATCGATTTGTAACCGATTTGGACATCTCTCCCAAAAATACCTATGTTTTAATATCCTTCATTTTTAACTAATTACAAATATGCCACAATTAATCTCATCCGGTTCACAAAGTTAATACCAATTATTGGGTTAACAAAAGAACTTACCCCTTATAATCTCACAAACATATGTGAACATAGTAGCTCAAGGATATCTATTTAAAAGAGGAGGTGCAATCAAGATAATCGGTTACAAACAGTAGAAATCGTATATGTTCAATTGTGTTCATAATTGCTACAATGTTCATATATGTTCAATTTGTGTTCATAATTGCCACAAGTGTTCACATATATGTTCAATTTGTGTTCATAATTGCCACAAATGTTCATACATGTCAATTTGTGTTAATATGAGTGTATACATGTCAATTTGTGTTAATATGAGTGTATTCATGTCAATTTGTGTTCATAATTATATATATATATATATATATATAGAGAGAGAGAGAGAGAGAGAGAGATGTATACTTTGCAAATCACGTTACTTGTACAAATCGTACAAACCTCATTCAACCCATCATAATTTTTCATTTTGTTCATCTTATTGTAATTATGAGAGATTGATTAATCTTTTTTATTGTGGAGGGTGTTAATCATAGATATTATCATCTTCATTATGTTAATTTTAAAGAAATACATGAAACAGTTTGATTAAAATTTTATAAGTATTATATGAAACAATTTCATAATCATATATGAAACGGTTTCATCAAAAAAGTATTATATAAAAAAATTTCATAAGATTAAACAATGAAATGGACAGATGAGGGTGATTTGCACGGTTTGTACAACTATAGGTGGTTTGCATTTGATCGCTCCTCTCTCTATCTCGTTATATATATATATATATATATATATATATATATACACACACATATACATATATAGGGGTGGTTTACTTTGCAAACCAACACATTCGTGCAAATCATAAAAAAAAAATCAACCATCGATTCATCAATCAATGGCCATGTTTAAAGGAGACTATTTATGTTAACAAAAAAAATCATTAGTTAAACCAACGAGGAATGATAAAAGCAGAAAAATAGCCATGATTATAGAAGGCTATTTATGGTATCTGTTTATTAAGGAAACAACAATTTCATTTAGTTATTTTGAAATGTTCAGTTGTTTCATTTCGAACTTGAGCGGTGATTGAGCTTGATTCCCTCGCTCGATGTTGAGGGAGAGAGGTTGCATCAATTGGTTGTTTTGCTTATTCAACAACCCCTTCCTCTGAGTTGGTTCTATTCTTACTAGCTTGAGCTCTAACCTTCCTTTGGAGTTTTCTTGGGGTTGGTAAGACAAGGGGTCCATGAACCACGAAGTACACTACAGACAACCCAAGAAGAAACGGAGTTTTCAATTGTTTGATTATCAAATAAAAAATATAAAATATATTCCAAAAATAAATAAGAGATTGATACTTCCCCTAATTAACGGATTCCATGTATGTTGACCAACTTACCCTTACTAATAAAAAAGAAGGAAAAAACATAAAAAAAAATTTATTCGTTGAATTAGATTTGTATGGTTTGTACAAATAGAGGTGATATATATTTTAACGTTCCCATATAATTTTAGAATTTTCATCAAATATCACATGTGATATCAATGATCAATTCATATGTGATAATTATAGATATTTTTGTTAATCATATGTGATAATCGTAAATATTTTTGTTAATCATATATGCTAATGTATATTTACATCTATAGTTTTGTGATGTAAATATTATCACATGTGATGATGTGTCACTAATATTCAGACGTGTATCATCATACGTGATATGTATAAAAATTCACATAGTGGATCTTATAGATCATATGTGATATGTTATAGATTGTATGTTAAACAAAATTTATCATATGTGATTCAAAATATCGACCCAAAAATTAGGGAGAAAATGTGAAAAAGATAATGAATTAAATGTAGATATCAAATGTGATATTTGATCAAAATTTTGAATATCAAAATATATCTAGAAAAAGAAGTTATATAAAACTGTATAAGATAATCATGAACTTTTTAAAATAAAAAGATATAATTAGATGTTTGAAGATTAATCGGATTCAAAATTATAATTATCCTAATTACTAAATTCTTTATGTTATTTTTTAGTTAATGGATTATATGGTTCATAATACTTCTCGTCTTCTCGTAAATTAGTTAGCTTCTTGCATGAATCTCTCTATCTCTCTCTATTTATATATATATATATATATAGAGAGAGAGAGAGAGAGATGACGTTCCAGATACAATTTATCTTATATATACACGTGTGTATCAAATTACAAAGAGAAGGTACCATTTTTTTTAACATAATTTGTTTAAACCACAAGGGTGATGCCTGATTGGTTTGAGTTTGGCTCCAAAGGTCAAAAGTACCAAGAGGTTCCAAGTTTAAATCCAAGTAGGAATAAAAATCCCCTTGTGGCCATGAAGGTTCAAATGCGATAACTTCGGGCTATCTGCAAAGCAGGTGGTCGTCCTGAAATTAGTCGGCTCGCATATCGGATTGGATATTCGGGTTAATAAAAAAATATATATAATTTGTTTAGTTAAAAAATTAATTATATTTAAGTTAATTTAGATTTTTTTAAATGAGATAAATATAACACTTGTTAAATAAGAATATTATAAAAATTAAAGGATTTTATATTCGTTATTGATTTATACATAAATGCTTAAACACTGGTACCCTCAAAACATTAAAGAGGTAAAACTTAAATACTATTTTAAAACACCAACTAATTTTATAAGATTTAGGGCATGTTTGGTTTATGAAAATGATAATGAAAAAGGGAATTTAGGAGAATGAGAATAATGAGCACTACATTGATGTTGTTTATTTAAACTAGTTTAATTAATGAAAATTTGTTTTATATAATACTTTTAATACAAATATATTTCGTCCAACTTGAAAGAATAAAAATAAGTTTCATTTAACATGAAAAATATAAAATATGTTCCATTCAATATCGAGAGATGGACTAAGTGGAAATAAAATCTGGTTAGGCATGGAAACTAATGGTTTTGGGGTAATAAGCCCATTATATTATATCAAACCAAACCACCGTAGTGGTAATGAATATACACCGGTGCTACTTGTGCGGTCTTGGGAAATGGTTGTGTTTTTCATTATCATTTTCATTTTTTACCCCTTAGTACCCCCAACCAAACATCCTTAATGAAATATAGTTGGTTGATTTAATTGACTAGCTTTGTGCCAGCAACAATAGTAAGACGGGGGGGGGGGGGGGGGGGGGGAAGATAACGAGAAGTGAATGGATTTGCCTCCAGTTCTCGTAACACATAAAGGTCCATACTGGAAATTGACTTAGCTTCATGTGAAAGTAATTACTACCTTGTAAGGGCGTTGAGACCATAGCAAAGGGGCAATGCACCAGCCGACCAGTGTGATGGCGAACACGTTGTGCAATAGTAGCAAAAGGAGGCAAGTAACTGATTAAGGAAAGGCATGAGTTTCCATTTTTCAAGTTATGGAAGACTGCAATCAAAGTCAAGTTGTAACGAGCAAGAAAACAGATGCGCATTGTTTTTTCGGAAAACAAACGAACAATGATCAAATAATGTTTTCTGATTTCGTCTACATATTAGTGTTCATATAAAACCATAAACGAAAACATTGCCAATTGATACTTGAACTCATAATATCACTGGATAATATAAGTTTTCTTCATTAAGTTATTAAAATAAATGAAGTTTACAAGAGCATCCTAATCAAGGCCCTACCTACATTAGTAAGATATTCCATATCCTTATTCACATTTGTCATTGGCGACGCTTGACCATATTGGCCAAAAGTGCTCTCACATGCTTGCGACTCTACGGCGCAATCAGCAATTCCGTCCTCAGCAAACTTAGGGTTACCTTGAGTCAATGCGGTAACTGCTTCAGGGACATCCGCTGTCACTATAGCATTATACACGTCTGCACAATACTCTAGCGGCGACTTCAACTACGGTCGATCATTCTCCAAACCCTTGATGTAGTTTATGGTGTTGATACCTTTTTCTTTGACTGCATTAACTATGATTAGGGCTAAATCTGTTAAATCTGCATCTTGACTCTTAGGGTCTGCTAAAATAATCTTAACACATAAATCGTAATTGGGAGTGGACTTGCATGTGTCCTGTATGAACTTCATGTCTGCAACGGCTGAAAATAATATGGTTTCTTGAAGAACAAGAAGAAGAAAGACAATTGTAAGAGTAGACGACAACTTTATCATCAATATTTGAATCGTAGCGAAAACACAAATAAATGATATGAAGTACTGATTGAAATGTTAATTTGAGCTGTTTCAAAAATGGTGTGTTTGATGCCCAATTTATAGAACAACTTTATGTGGGCTTTTTAAAAATAAAAAATTTAATTTTAAATATTTTTTCTAAAGTAATTAATGTAAATTTGGTGTTTTAATAAATGTGAATTAAATTAAAGTTTTTTTTGTTTGACGGTTACAAATGATAATAAAATAATAACATATTTAT